TCTTTCGTTAAATTTCATTATTTAGTAGTAGGTAAGCGGGTTCTTATCACTATTTTCCACGGTAGTTAATGCTATTCAGTTATGCAGCGCACATGAAATTTAATCTCTGAAATTGAAAAGCATTACGCCCAAATTGAAAGGGTCTATTTTCTGTTAAAAATATATTGAGATGCAAAAAAATCCGAACCAACTTTATTTCATCAAAATTAACACATACTTTAGTATCAAAATGATTGAAAGGAAACAAGCTTCAATTAAACGTTAGCATGTTTGCATTGCCGATTGACAAGGAAGAAGCTTCATGTTAACTAGTTGGACAACCCAAAATTTATTCAATTTTACGCGAAAAATGCTTACAGGAAACCCAAGGGCGGATCCAGGGTTTTTCGAAGGGGGAGTCTCAGGGGTAAATTTTGTGGGCAAAGGAATCCCAGTCGCATTTTTACCACAGGAAGCCCATTTGACCTCAGGAATGACAGGGGGGTCGCGACCCCCCCGACCCTCCCCCTGGATCCGCCCTTGAAACCCGTGAGAAATCCTATTGAGATATCTGAAGGATATCCGAAATAAATTCAGAAACAACACAGCTGAAACATACTCAGATAATAAGTACATCATTCAAGCTTATTTTACATGATGTAAAACATCGATCAAATATTTAATAACGATGGTCGCTCGATCGAGACTGATTTCTAAGTTGAATATTGAATGCTGTGTGATGCCGTGAATAGATGACATTTATACCGTGACTTGCAGCTCAAATCACCGAGCCAATGTAAAGGGCCTTAAGGGTACTTAAGGGTAATAAGGGTACTTAAAGACAAGAATCCATGGCGATCATGTTGAATTCTTAGAAAACCCTAAAAAGTCATTTTATATTGTTCCCTTCTTGGTTACAATATTAAATTGAAAACCGTTTTGAAATTGGATAAGAGGAAGTAGAGTTATGTTTTGTTTTTTTTTAATTTCAATTTTCCCTGGGGAAATTGCGGCGTGAAATAATATATGATCCGTCATACAGCTCCCTAAATGATGGCTTGCATCAGGTATCTGTGCAGACAAAGTTTTAATTGTGGCTGTAAAACAAGGCATTTCTTGGTGTTTGTTCGTACTTCATGGTGGGGTACAGCCATACAGTTTATAAATGATAGCTGACATTAGGTTGTGGCTTTAAAACAAGGCATTTATTGGTATTTGTTCGTACTTCATGGTGGGGTACAGCCATACAGTTTATAAATGATAGCTGACATCAGGTTGTGGCTTTAAAACAAGGCATTTCTTGGTGTTTGTTCGTGCTTCATGGTGGAGTACAGCCATGTATACAGTTTATAAATGATAGCTGACATCAGGTCGTGGCTGTAAAACAAGACATTTATTGGTGCTTCTTTGTACTTCATGGTGGGGTACGCCATACAGCTTCATAAATGATGGCCAACATCAGGTGATCTGTGAAGACAAAGTTCTAGTTGTGGCTTTAAAACAAGGCATTTCTTGGTATTTGTTCGTGCTTCATGGTAGGGTACAACCATACAGCTCCATAAATGATGGCTTGCATCAGGTATCTGTGAAGACAAAGTTCTATAATTCAGTGTGGCTTTAAAACAAGGTACTTTCTTGGTATTTGTTCGTGTTTCATGGTGGGGTACAACCATACAGCTCCATAAAGGATGTCTTGCATCAGGTATCTGTGAAGACAAGGTTCTAATTGTGGCTTTAAAACAAGGTACTTTCTTGGTATTTGTTCGTGTTTCATGGTGGGGTACAACCATACAGCTCCATTCTCATTAAAGGATGATGTTGCCACTTTAGTACAATGACACGAATGTATCGAGCAATGATCGGTATCTCGATCTTGTTGGCCACCACTGTGTTCTGATCAAAGTTTCCAGGAAATTTCTAAATTGAAAATAAAAGCAAGCAGTGAAGAAATATCTTAAAAGTAATGGGGCATTAATTATGTCTAGTCACGAGGATAGAGTTTATCGACGACTTGGTGGGGATTTTTGCGTGAAAACGGATGGATCAATGCGCATATTCTCCTTATCTCTCAAATCTAGATGGACTATGATAAGTTGTCATGCACCTTTTTCGCACTCGTATAGTTTTCACGGGTAAAATACTCTGGCATTTCTTGCTGAAAACGTTTTCAATGATCAGACGACTAATATAAACTAACTGATAAATCTATTATTTTAACCGATAAAACACACTGTCTAAAGCGCATTATTTATCTACCAAGGTAATAAAAGTATCGAACCTTAACACAGTCTCCATAGTAGTTTGTCCAGTCCCTTGTGTCGTTGCTGTAAGACACACTGTACTCGGTCACCCATTGGGCACTAGTGGGTCTTCCTTGTGTGGCAATTTTAGTAACCGTCTTGACTCTACCAAGATCAACCTGTATATACTCGCCTACAGCCTTAGTTGGTGCCCACGCACCACAGGTACCGTACCGAACGTACTGATTGTTAAGTCGGGCTCCCTGTGGGGCATACATTGTGTAGTTCCTTTCAAATGATGACGCAGTGATCTGGGAGTCGAGTATGGTTCGATTTTCCATCCCAAGCGCAGTTTCGCATCCTATGAACAACACAGAAGAATATATATGAAACGAATAGACCTACTCGTCTTGTCAAAGTGCAAGGTTTTCTCATTTCAGACCACGTGCCATTCTCTTAAGTTTAAGATTCTTCGTTTGAAGTTGTATCTTTCCATGCGAAACCATTAAAGAAAGAAATAATACTCTTGGGAATGACGCGTGGTCTGTAAGACTTAACATGAAGAGAACTCCTCGATCGTAATTAGTATTTTAATAGTGACGATGTCAAGTCCTATTAAATACAATTGGATATAATGATAGATTACAAGTGAACGGTGATAAATGATAATCTATTTACATTACAGGAGACTTACTTAACAATTCAAAGAAAAGAGTCCTGTTACTCACGAGTGTGCAAAACACATAATCCAAGATGGCCGACCTGGCATTAACTGGTTAGCGGTCGGAGATCTGAAATGGGCGATCTGAGACTAAGCAGAACTTTCGTGCTTTTATTCGTTTTCTGGCTAAAAAACGAAAAATCACATTCCTAACTCAAAGATCATGCTTCATATAGAGGTTTTGCAACATCACATGCCGACGCCATAATAGGACGTTTGCACGATGGCGTCATTTGACTCCCACTACCATAATGCTTCGCGAAATTTCTTTCTTATTTAAATTTGTATTCCATCATGAAAATAGTAAGACAATTGGTGGTAATTAAATGAACAAAAGAAAGTGTGCAAGGGATTCTGGTAGTAGAGGTCAATGTTATATTTAGGTAGCGTGCTTCTCTCAGATCTCCGACCGACAATGTTTTTTGAAATAGGTGTATACATTTTCTTGGTGGTTTCGATGAAGTACTCCAGTTTCGAGTTCCGTCTGTTGCTCAGCGTTAGCTTCGACTTTGTGCAGAATGCATGTGAGGTGCCGTGGAATTTCAAAATGTTTGCACTGTTGAAGTGTTGCATTCTTCATTTTACCGTTGGATTTGTGAACATTTAGAGACTTTTAAAAATGAGGCTAGCCCTGAGTAAATTAGTCTATTCAAGATCACAGTGGTGATTTGGAACTTGAAAAAGGTCTGTCTAAATCGTTAATGCTAGTCAATCGTCAATAAAAGGTCGTATCTGGATGGACCTTGCATGGGGTATAGTTTTACCTGTTGTGTCTAGCGTTTGTGTTCTACATTCCTTGGAAGCTAACGCTAGGCCGACACAGTTGGCACCGATATTCTGAGGTGCTGTAGGGCTGGTACAGTTTCGTTTTCGAGTCCTGGGACAATCCGGGAGATGGCACGTGGTCCATGAACCCCATTGAGCCCAAATGCCATCTGGAAAGGTAAAAATAACAATTATTTGTTTCGCAACTGGATGAAGGATCTTAGACAGAAACTCATAACGCAGTTGAAAACGTGTAACACTATAACTTTGCTCCGGAATATTCAGATATGCAAATTAGAAGTTTTGATACCATATTTGGAATTTTAGGCGTGATTCAAGATGGCCGCTTCTATCACACATCAAACTTTTTATCGAATTTTCTGACTTTCAGACAAACATCCGAAAAATATTGTCCATACATTTGGAATATTTGCTCTTTTCGGTCACAGCCCCTCTGTTTCCTCTCTTTCCTCTCTTTCCTCTAGCTCTTTTCAAAGCAAAAGGTTGTGCTTAAACGTAAAGTTATAAGCACACAAGTAAAGCGTGACACAACATAGAGCAGTTTTCGTATGATTGTGAAAAGCTCAGTGCCGTAAGCGTGACATGCCGTGACCGTGATACTTTCTAGAATTTTAATTGTCTGATTTTTTTCACGCGCAATATGATTGGTCTAAAAGTGCCGTGATCTTTGCGTGACCGTGTCCGCGCCGTGTTCATACCGTGTTCCGGGTATTTGATTGGATGGAGAGTAAATTCTTGTGCAATGTGATTGGTCTGGCGCATCCCTTGCTGTGTCATGGCCGTGTTCGTGCCGTGAACTTTTCACAGTCATACGAAAACTGCACTAACGGGGTTGAAACGTGTAACCATGCTCCGGAATATTCAGATATGCAAATTAGGTGTTTTGATATCATAATTGGAAGTATGAGTTTGCATTCAAGATGGCCACTTCTATCAATGCCTGAAACTTAATTCGCTGAATTTCCTGACTTTCAGATAAAATTTAATCAATGAATCTTTCAATCGTTTTGGTAATTTTTGAAGCAAGAGCACGTGATTTACTGAAAAGAAATTTGTCAAAAACGTAACTTGAATATTTCGGAGCATCGTACAAAAGAAATGCATGGCTGTTACGCGTTCCAACGTTGCAATGTTTCAAGTTTTTGTTTTTATAGATTATTAAGCAACTTAGCATACCAACGCAGCTAAAGCTATCCCATGAAAAGTCAGGCATACATATCTTGTTGGATGGACATGGACTAGACGAACAAGGGTTCTATGGAGAGAAAAAGTGCGAGTATTTAGAAGTATGGTACTTCATGTATAAAATAATCTACCATATACCGATGCGATTCCTACTATTTTAATTTCGGCAATAGTAAGAAAAGTTTGGTAGAAATGCAAGTTAGTTCACTGCCCTACAATGTTATAATTAAATCTAAAGCATTTATTCGACCCAGTTTTTTTCTTAACCTCGGAAAAATATCAATAGTCCCTTTGCAGCTAAGCAATCACGTGCTGATTAATTCACTGAGAGCAAATGAATGAACATCTTGATTCCCATGGGCGAAATATACTGGCGAGCAAACAAACGACCTGGTTTTGCCCTCCGGTAGAGACACGTGACCGTTAGCTGCAAAGGGCCTATTAAGGAACGATTGGTACTTGACTTACCTTGATAGGACAGTATTCAAACCCCTTTTTTGGTACCACGTGATTCGGCCACATCCAATGATCAGCGTCATTCAGGTCACATGATCTTGCCATCCCTTCCACTGGACCCAAGTTGTACGACACACAGTTGTCTTCCATATAGCATTTGTGCTGGCAATCCTCTAGTCCGGGTGCTAAGATTCTGAAAGTCCTGATCACGTGACCCACGAAGGTTTTGTTTTTGATGCAGTCGAGGTAATCGAGGACCCTACAGCCACCATCACCTGTACGACACGGTAGGAGAACAACACGAATCAAGAGAGCACGGCAGAAATAAATTACTTAATTGGTCTTCCTGTGGTATTTACGTGTGTGTGCTGACGAATAGGATTTTCCGCGAAAAATAACGTGGGCTATGCAAGAAAATATCAAAGATGGCGGCGTGGCGTGCCAAAATACTTTTTAACAAAACGTCAAAAACCGCATACCCGTCTATACCACAGGAAGACCAATCATCAAAATTTATATTTCAGAGGAAGACCAATATTAATTTATTTCAGCCGTGTTCCCTTCAACAATTGCCCTATTTCATAATGAGGTCAAATCAAAACAAACTATTGTTTTAATGCTAGGGATCATGGTCGCTGGAGGGGGATGGAATGACGACCACACATCTTAAATCACAATGAAAGTTGGTTTATGAGCTGGTGAAGGCAAGAACAACTAAATATTACGCTAAATATCTCGAATGAGAAGAGAATTAAGCTTAAATTTAGCCTAAATTCCTATTATTTTAGCCGGTCCGATGTATATAAACCGTGACGTCATTTTGTAATAGGGGAATTGGCTTCGTTTTTTAAAAGCGGCCTAGAGTTGGTAAAACAGATCTAGAAGGGGGGGGGGGGGAACTATCACATGACAGCAATTTTTCAGAAAAAAGAATTGAACTTCTTTCCAGCTTCAAACTTCTCAGTTAGATTTACTTATCTTAACAATCCGTTTCCAGCTATCTAAATTATTCTTCTGTTAATGAGTTTTGAAATTACATGACAAAAGGTCATTGTCCCACAGTCAAGTACTAAGTCAGTAACAACAAAGACGAGTATAAATAGTATGAGCTTATAAAATCGGCAAAAATACGGTTCTAAATTTTAACAAATTTCTATGAATTGTATACCAAAATGTTCAGGAAAGCCCGGGGTTTTCAATTCCACTTATGGTTTTTTGACAGGTTCTGTTTTATTTCAAGGAGAGACGATTTTCTAGCTTGACCCCGGTTATGTCATGTATTTTTAAGATATATCCAACAGCGTACATTCAACTCAAAAAGTACGGTGGTTTTATTTCAATAGAATTCAATGTAAACCATATAATACAGTCCGTGAATAGTTGAATTAACTGAGTCCACTACTGTTTTTTGCCTAGATAGTCATTATTTTGAGAAAAGATCCAAAAACCGTGTTTTGAGACATAATTTGTATGGGCTCACTGACATGAGGGGGCGTGAGCTTGAAATCGTAGCTGACCAAATGTTAACAGATTTTTTCTGGTGTATTAGGAGATTATGACGGACACGATGGAAGAGAAGAAAAAAGAAACTTCGAAGAGAAGACGAAAATTAAGGATGAATGTTCTAAATTACGGATTATAAATAATAAATGAAATGACATTATAAATAATAAATGCAATTATGAAAAATAAAAATAAAGGAGAAAAAAAAAACAAAAAAAAAAACAAAAAAAAAACACTGAGAAATAAGTCAGCAAGGACATACTGGCAAAATCGGATATGGAAGCATTCATGGAATTTTTTTCGCCCTATATCGCCTATGTTAAGGAGGCTCTGGGTAGTTTTGATCTGGCACACCTAGCCACATTGAAACGGCTACAACTTTGTCTTAAACAACTCGATGTACAGGCACTTTTCACACAATGTCAGGAAAGGATTAAAGGTTTCAAAATTGATAAATTAGTTTAAAGCGGCCTTTTCATTATGACGTAATGATGACATCATAGAAATCGTTTACCGCTTATTTTCTCGAAAACTAGACTTAAATTTTTAAAGCGACTTGCACCAGTCGATAGTATTCATCAAGGCACCCAACAATTGCAATACGAAAAAAAATGTATGAGAGCGTTTTCCAAATATTACGCGATGAATATTTTCCTGGACTTTTACTATTATTTCCAGCGTGTCAACTTTATACCCTCAAAATCGGGACTTTAATTTAGTGGATTCAATATTTTTAGTAGCTAGAATATAGGTACGGATATAGACACTGTCCTTATTGAGTATGAATCAAATCGCGACTTTCTTTCTTTGAATTTTTTGATATGAAGCTAAATGACCCGATAGCGATAGAAAATATCAATGAAAGCGGCATTCAGAAAATCGTCGAACGATTTTTTTTCTAAATGAAGTCACTAAAAGATGTATCTTTGACAAAAATTCTCCTTTAATTTCATATGGATAGAAGGGTTTTAAGGCAGTCAAATAAAAATAAGTACGCTCACAGCTAACAGCACACGACAAGGAATAACATGGAAGTCAAGCGTGAATAATCTTACTTATTTTTATACCTACTTACCCTTAACAGAAACAACTGCAAATAAGATTGCCAATACAGTTTCCAACGTGCATTTTGGTTTGCGGTGGAATAGATTCATTGTGCGACGAACTTTGAGCTACTTACAAGAAGCAGGTGTTTTGTCAAATTTCTGGTACATTCAACATTAAATATTAATGTTCTTGTAATGTATCGTGTTTCGAGTTGTTTCTCATTAGTTAGGCTCGATTTTGTGTAGAATATTCATGTGTTCCAGTGAAGATACAGTGCGTTCAGTGGCATCACTGAACGCATGTCTGATACGCATGCGTCACTCATCCGGTTTCAGTCTTCCGGAGAGAGCGGTTTCATTACGGAATGAGCTAATGTTCGTACCACGTTCACATGGTACAGGTATGGAATATCGTCCCGGAACGAGCGTTTCGTTACAAACAGCCAATCTCAACACGAACCGACCTATCGATGAGAGCACAGATGTTCCGATGAGTGTTATCGGACAGGCACACCATCCAGTCTACACCATTACATCGCCTTATGAAGACCAGCAGTTTGCAGTCGAAACGTAACGGTCCTCTACAAATGACTCACAATCGTGAGACCAATATGAATTCATATGAGTATCATTTAGTAATTACAATTTCTACGATGATTAATACTTTTTTATTCTATTGATCGTTTTCATAAGAAAATATAATAAAAAAGAAGAGGAACCACAAGAAGAACTACCACTACAAGAAGAAAATGAACTGGAAGAAGAAGAAGAAGAGGAAGA